CCCAGGCGCCACGGACAGTAAGGGGTTGGGTTTGCAAGGGACATTAAGTTCATACAAATATTTCAGTGACATCCGACAAGACAGGTAAACACATTATGACTTGTGTAGCTGAAGACGAAATAAAACCAGTTGCAGAACACATTGTTTTCCCTTGAAAATATCCCAAAAGTTAGAAAGCAATGCTTTAAATACATCAATCATCTTGCAACAGCACCCCTAATAAAGTACACTATTGCTATAATAAAAATGCGTTCCCCATAATTACATTAATCAAGGAAACAAATAGAAACAAATACAATTAAGGTTTTGAAATGATTGCAGATAATCAAGTAGCCAGACATGTGACACAAGGGAAACATAATAATTTAGTATCAGGGAATATTGTTTGACATTTACAAGGTGATATGATTTGAAAATAAAAGGCCTATCTTTTCATGGACCATGGTGCCATCTAGAAGACGCTGAAAAGGAAAGGAGAATCAAGCACAATATGGCCTCATTTGAGAGGTTATATTGTTAATGTTAGCTTTGTGCAAATTACATATCTTGTAATTGGGGATATGTGAGTTCATTGCTCCCAGGAAAGGGACATTTTTGTGTTAGTTGGAGTGGATGAATTGGATTTAATAGAAAGAAAACCCTGCAGGCTTAGCTGGTCTTTTGTGTATGGCACTCGCCACTGACGTCTTGTGTGGAGCATTATGATATGGTGCCACCTACTGTTGGATCACTTCCTGCATAACCAAACGTTGTGCAATCAGAGCAGCAATGCTATCAATCCAATCAAATTACATTGATACAAAGGTCAAATAAAAAAATAAAAATATAGGTGTGTGTGTGTGTGTGTGTGTGTGTGTGTGTGTGTGTGTGCGAGTGTGTGTGTGTGTGTGTGTGGGTGCGTGCGTGTGTGTGTGTGCGTGTGTTGTTGTGTGTGTGTTTGCTTACTTTGTATTTTCACCCCTTGCCACCTGATAAGAATAAAAGGGGGGAAAGGTTATATTCATGTCATCCCTCACCTCACAGATGATTTGCAGCCACTGGCTCCTCCCTTAAAAAGATTTACTGTACATGAAATTTTTGCTGACATGGTACTCTTCGGCCGCTGCGTCTCAGATATATGGCAAACCATAATTTGGAGGTGTAAAATGGGTATAAAACCTGTATTAATTATTTAATCGTAGTTCTAAGTGCTGCCTTTTAGTCCACACCATGGCTGTCATCCCCCTCTATTTCAGCGGATCGTTATATCACTCATTTGTCACAGAAGAAAAATTACAATCAAGACTGAGATTGTATAATGGTAAATCAGAGCAAACCAAGACTTTTTTATTGGTGTCATTAACTGTTACTTTTATTAATTTTTCACTCCATTTGATAAGTGACCTGCTAATTGCATTTAAATCTTCGTTTTCTAGAAGCTGAGCCTCATAGAAGAAAAATAAAAAGCTGTTTCTTAAAAAGCCATATGAGAGGACAAAGCCGCCACCACAAGTGCACAGAATAGAAATATCCCTGGCAGGTAGCAGTGTGTGGGACCTGTGATATATCTTTGTGTCAGGGGGCAGTTAGGTACAAAGACTGCGGGGTGTGATCAACAACCAAACTAACATGTTGTCCTGAGGTTGGGGCAAGGAGGTGTACACAGAGCATCCATCAAACTACATCTGTGAGAGGCTGATACTGTTTACTCTCAATACACTCGCTACACTCGGCTCAGCTCCTCCTTGCTGATCTCAGAGGACTTTCAATTCGAAGATAATTTATCGCGGTAATGCCTGCCGGGCATTTGTTCATTGGGGTCACAGATCTGGCATATGATAATGGCCAATATGTAACACAAAATAAAGCACAACTTCACCTCCTAAGTTACATACATACTTTATTATAATGTTGTTTCATGACCATAATGGATACGATAAACCAAAATGCATATGTGTTAATAAGGAAGAGTTTTCATCCACAAATATGCAGTTTATTAAAGAACAGTTCTTAAACTTGACGTCCTGTGATTTCGGTCTTAATTTAATCATTTTAAAGAGTTATCTCAGTAAAGGTATCAGAAATATATACTTAAGTATGAAAAGTAAAGGCCCCTGGCAGTGTGACATCTATTATATATTAATTATATATTATTTGATTATCACTATACATGAACATGTACGCAGTATTTGTACTTTATGCTGCATTTTGGCAAGATTGAGCTAATTATTATTAGTTTATACATTGTTAGGGAGTTTACAGTTATTGCATGTAAAACATGAATGTATTGATGTTAATTATTCAATGCACAGCAACTATATATGACTGTTGTGAGGTAAATATTGTGGTGTGTGTTGCCGACACTGACGGGTGAACGAAAAAACTACGACGCATCAACACATTATAGCTTTATTGCCAAAATCAGTGATTTTTAGCCTAAAGTGTCAGGAAAACATCAGCTGTCTGGAGCTTAAGTTTGTGTATACATGGAAATAATTGGTCAAATGCTAATTTAAATTGAAATACAAGTAATCGCAGAGACAAAGCTACAGCATCATGACCATCAGATCAGTTCTCAGACAGAATGTGGTATGCAGAGTTTTTGTTGCATGACTCCAAAATGCATTCTAATGCTTGTTTGGGTTGTAACTCTTGCTCATTCCAATACAGACATAGAAAAATCTCCCCCATGACATTTGGAAATACATCTCAACCATCTGCTCTGCTTCAACAACAGTAGCTCACACAGGCCTCTGATGCTAAGTGTACCATTGGTCTGAACATGCATCCACTGCAAATATACAGATAATATATTGCCCATTATTGTTGGAAATACCATCACCATCCTCAAATGGTCCAACAGGGATCAATTTTCAAAGAGGAAGATGGGTTTTTTCACAGGTTCCCACATGGCAGGGCATCAAAAATAAATATGTAAAACAATAAAAAAATGGGATATTAGTATTACTTCTTTCAATAAACCTACTGTATATGCTCAGGAGTAGAAATAATGTTACCAATTCCTCATTAGGAGTTTAATTAAGGAAAGATTTACTGTATAAACGGTAATTTGCCTGTGATTTACTCATATTTGTAGGAGCAACAGAGAAATTTCTGCTCAACTATTTGCTAGCATTAAAATCCTAATGTCCCCATTATCTCTTACAGTAACTGCAGTGGAATAAAGGGAGCAAACCCCAGACTGTCTTGAATTTGAACTATGGACTGATCATAAATACTCATCATTAACAGTGTCAGAAAAACATTACCCTTTTTATTGGGGCTGTATTTTCCTCACACACAACAATAAAGTTAATGACAGACATTGTATGAACCATAAAACAGTCATATATTTGGATGCTGGTCAGCTTCAACAAGGCTTGTATCATTTGGCTCATAGATCACGCTTGTCCGATCAAGTATTCTTGTCAGAGAGATCTGACTTGAACTGAAAACACAGATGTCATGTTTCAAAAGCTGAATATAACTTGAATATCGGGAACACTTTTATGCGTGCTTGGAGGCCATTTGGTTTGAGAAATTTCTGCTTAATGTGTAACATCATGCCAATATACAATAATGAATGAACGTGTTCATGGAAGTTCACAATGAGAGTGCTGCTTGAGATGATGCTACTAACAGAGATAAACAAAAAAAAACTCCTTACAATATGACAGAATAGCACTTCAGTGAATATGCAACACTTTTTTCAACTTTTCAGCTTGCAAATAAATAGTATTTTGCAGAATGTGATACGCCATCAACTCTGTGACTCTCTAGCCTTTTGTATTAGTACTACATCCGTAAGCTGCCTTAACTTGAACACCAACAAATACAAATAATGATTGCTGTGTTAAAACTGGAAACATAGACCCAACTGTTCTGATTATAGAAATAAACTCACATTGTAACTGCAAAGTCTCGTGATCAGCTGAATCACTTACAGCATTGAATAATTATGAGGCAAGGAGTTTATTTTTAAAAATCACACTGGCATGTGCCAAACATTGGAACATTGCAAACAGACACAGTATATGGCTCAATTTCCCTGCACAATGTCCCAGAGACCGTTCTCACACCTTGATTCTGTCTATGTAGAGGGGCCATTTGTATATATATAATATAGTTTTAAGAGCGTTTTGTTTGTATTGTCTTTAAATGTTGCACATCCCTACAAATTTGAGGAAATCAAATAACCACAAACTAAATATTTTTCTAGCGCAGGAATACTGGTTGCACAAAACTTAATGGAAATATTGAGGTACCAGTGTACATACATATTGTGCAGAGGGGACATTTTTGCCATGGGGCCCCCTAACAGGTGAATCAGGCTCTGCAGAAAGGGCACTAGTCTCACTCACCCTAGTAAGACGTGACAGTTTTACAAGTCACGTATTCTACTAATTGAAACACCCAAATAAATCAGTTTAAATGCATTTGGGTTTTTGAACAATTGTGTTTACTGTCAATTAGACCTTAATTTCAGCTTTAGCCACTTTTGCTGTCCAGCTGGCTCATAAGACATCCACTTTATTTTACAGTTGATACTCTATTAGCTTCTATATTTGTATTTGGGCTTGATTATTCAGGTTTAGGCTATTGATACACATTTGTATTTGAAACATCGGTCTCAAAAGGTAGGTCACCAACACCGAACAGGAACTTATTAAATGATCGGTTGCATAGTAACACAAACATGATGTGATCATTAAAGATTTTAAATTGCCATCAAATTAAAAACACACCCAGCAGTCTCAATTATTGAACATTGAGCGGCACCAAATTGTATTACTTCAGGTCTATAGAACCCCACAGTGTTTGTATTTTACATCCCTTGTATGATTTAAATTGACAGGACTCACCTAGGTCTGTCTCTTTTAAATGCAATGTCCCAGTCACTTTAAGGTCTGCCCAAACAATTCAGGGATTGGATAAACATTACTTTGCTCTGTCAAGACGTGTCCCTGTTTAACCAGTAGATGGCGCAAATAATCTTCTTTTTCTTCTTCATTGCAGGAATCCAGGCAGCAAAAAGGGACAAAGTGTGCTAAGAAAGAAGAAATAAACAATGCTTTATTTACATAGAATGTTTTACCATCACATGCACGCATGAACAACAGTAGCTTCCACGTGCTATAGTTTAAATGTGATGATTGTAATCTAGGACGGACCTACGACCACATCGATTTCCTGCTCACGTGATCAGATCGGCGGCTGTGGACGTCTGCAAAATGGAGGTGAAGTGCTCGCAAATGTTGCATATAATGTACTGTTTTTTGTAAAATGCAATTAAGCTACTAATAATTGTAACTTTGACGAGGGAACGCCCGGTGTTGTATTGTAATGTGTATCTTCTCTGTAGCTTTAACGCCGCTCATGATTCAGCGCTGTTAACGGTAGCTAACGTTGTGGCTAAGCTAAGCTAACGGTTGTCAAAATTACAATACGGTAGTGTTACAGTTAAGCTAGGTGGTGTCACAACTGGAGAGCTCTTTATTGGGTTATTGTTTCACTTTGACTGTTGACTGAGCATTGTTGCTCGGTTCCCTTACACCCACATTAATCGGTACAGTAGATGGATAATTGGTGGCTTTTGTTGGTAATTACACAATGAACCTGCAGCATTCGTGAAGTAAGCTAACGCTAACGCTAACGCTAGCTGTCAAAGCTGGAGTAGTCCAGCTATGGTTGTAATGGAATGCGGGCCTCAGCCTGACGAATATCTTTTTCCATATAATTTAATATATATATATATATATATATATATATATATATATATATAATGTAGCCATAGTATTTATTGTCCATGCTCTGGGTTTATTTGTCTGCCTACTTTTACACGACAATGCATTTTACCATTAGCTTAGTCTTGCGCTACAACGAGAAACGTTACAATCTAACGTTAGACTGTCATTACGATGTAGTTGCTGACATTATGAATTTATCAATCTGTAAGAGCACACTGTTCTGTAACCGTGCTGTAGGTTTCCTCAACTACATTCCCAGTAACACTATTCACAACTGTAATTATATTTATGTTTTTGTTTTGCTTTTTTTAGGACCGTGAAGCTAAAGAGCCCGAGCAGCTCAGAAAGCTGTTTATTGGAGGTCTGAGCTTTGAAACCACCGAGGAGAGTTTACGGGCCCATTTCGAACAATGGGGGATTCTCACGGACTGCGTTGTACGTATTTGTATTGTAATCTGTGGCAAAATGGCCTCAGATAATCATAAACAACGTAATAACGTTATAAACATAGCTGCAGTCCAGTTAAACTGTTCTCACTCCCATTGTGCATCGTGTTGTTGCTTATAGGTGATGAGGGACCCCAACAGCAAGCGATCAAGAGGGTTTGGCTTTGTGACATATGCAGCAGTAGAGGAAGTGGACGAAGCCATGAAAGCAAGGCCCCATAAAGTAGATGGCCGGGTTGTAGAACCCAAGAGGGCCGTGTCCAGAGAGGTAAACAAATCCCAGACCTGAAGGCAGAGACCTCGGCGATGTTAATGTTCGGTGTGTGTGTGTGTGTGTGTGTGTGTGTGTGTGTGTGTGTGTGTGTGTGCGCGTGCACTCATTGAACCGCTCTGTTTCAGGACTCCAACAAACCAGGAGCCCATCTGACAGTGAAAAAGATCTTTGTCGGTGGTATCAAGGAGGACACGGAGGAGTTTCACATTCGGGAGCATTTTGAGAAATATGGAAAGATTGAATGCATTGACATCATGGAGGAACGCTCCACTGGCAAGAAGAGAGGATTCTGCTTTGTCTCCTTTGAAGACCACGACACTGTAGACAAAATTGTTGGTATGTGTTTAGACCTCAGCGTAGTTGTTAGTAAACATTAAGCAATGGTATGTAAGTGTGTGTTTTTTTTTTCCCTTAAAGCCCAGAAATTCCACACAATCAACTTCCACAATTGTGAGGTCAGAAAAGCGCTCTCAAAACAGGAAATGAGTGCTATGTCCACTGACAGGGGTAAGCACACCATAAAATGTAGAGTGACCAATTTTGTACAAACTGTTTGCAGTCAGTTCGTTGATGTAAACGGCTCTAAAATGTCACCTTTGTATATATCAGGCAGGAGTGGAGGATCTGGAAACTTCATGGGGAGAGGAAGTAATTTTGGAGGTGGCGGTGGCGGCAACTTCGGTCGAGGTGAGTAGTACTTGCATCCTTGAGGAAAGTGCCTCCAGCCTTCAACATACTAATGTAGGAGCATTTGATAGTGATGTTTACATGTCAATAGGGGTTGCAGGATTGACACTCTAAAGAAAGTAAAATGGTTGCACCTCTTCTTTCCAATTTTTCAAGTGTCAGTAAACGACTAAATGGTGCATGGCCATCTGGTAAAATCGGTAAATCAGCTTGATCTAGGGAGGGATAAGCTCTGTTCTGTTGCCTCCAACGTTCTGTGAGCACTTACTTTGTGTTTTAGCTCTCAATTGAGGAGATCTGCTGTCAGACAATAGGAGTATATAAACAGTGTTGATTTCCTCATGCAGTTGTAAGACAACAGACATGCAAAGTAAGTCCGAGGTGACAGAAATGGGTTTTTCTAACATCGCTGCTATGCAGAAATGCATTGTCATGTTTGTATATTGTTGACATGTAAGTATTATCGATATTCTTTGTCATCCACCCTTCTGAAAATGTTGCCTTAGGGTGGACTACAGGCCAGAGCAGAGAGAGAGATTGTTTATCACATGAACCTACATTAGTGTGGACATGGTGTCATCCGTGACAAGGCTTCAAGTATACAACAAATTGGTCACATTTTGAATGCCTAATATATCTCACCCTTGTTTTTTAGGTGACTATGGTGGAGGGCGAGGTGGTTATGGAGATGATTTTGACAATGGTGAGCTCCTATAAACGTTACTGTGATGAACTTTTAACTTGTTATAAAACCGTCTCGATTAAATACTGATGCATCTATATGACCAACATAAACAAGACCATCAGCGAGAAGATTGGCTATTTCTATATAGTTACTCTTGATGCTTGTCATCAGTGCCACCGGGTCAAAATCAGATGAAATCATGCAGGTTCACCAGAAACTGCTTCAGCTCAGAGTCCAGTGGGGCCTTCAGCGACCAGCCCACCACAGATTGACCCAGATCTGGCTTTGCTGTGTGTGGAGCTCAGCCCCCTGCAGCTGCCGCTCCTCCTCCGGCTAGAAGCAGAACAACTTGCACAACAATTGTGTCGCATCTTTAGAAAATGCTTTACAACAGTGTTCTGTTAATACCACTCGTGAGCTATTCATTTCACTGTTCTAAATAAGGTTAAGTTGTACGTTTGGTATGTTCACTGCTACAGGTCCAGGAGGAAATTATGGTGGAGGACCAGGTTATGGAGGGGGCCGAGGGGGCTATGGAGGTGGTGGTCCAGGGTACGGCAACCAGGGTGGTGGATTTGGTGGCAGCTGTGATGGAGGTTACGGAGGCAATGACGGAGGTAAAACAAGTGCTCGATGTAACCCATTGTAAACATGCAGTCTCAGACACCTAAAATCAGGACTTGCCTTAAATACATGACGCTTGCATCTTCAGGATATGGAGGAGGTGGAAATTACAATGACTTTGGAAATTATAGTGGACAACAGTCCAACTATGGACCCATGAAGGGAAACAACTATGGTGGCAGAAACTCGGGTGGAGGAGGACCCTATGGCGGTGAGTATTACCCTCTAAAATGCTACATCCAGTGACATAACATCACAATTTCTCCTGAAGAGTATCCAACGTATTTGGCGGTGACCAATCCTTAACTGCAGGTGGCTATGGCTCTGGTGGCAGCGGCGGCGGCGGTGGAGGTGGCGGCTATGGCTCACGGCGATATTAATTATTTCATGTTTTGGTAAGTTGCATTCAGTTCCACACCACCCTCGTAGCACAGTACAGAGTGAGCCCTTGAAAGTGCAGAATAACTATTTGTTCTATCCTGTATCCATTCAACAGGCTTCAGTTCTTAGCAGGAGAGGCGAGGAGGTGAGCAAAGGAAAGGAATTGTCAGGAAAAGCTGCAGGTTACTTTGAGGCAGTCATCTGAGAGCATTAGAGGAACACAAGTCAGACATTACTGCAGCTAAATCGGAGAAGTTTATGGAAGAAGGACTGTAAACACAAGACATGAGTTCAGATGATACTCTTCCCTAATTGTGATAGATGTTTCTCTACCCAGCTATTTTACCTTTTGTGCGTCTGAAGTGTGTGTATTGTGCCTATGGTATCAGAGGTAAAGAGTACTTTTTTTTTTTTTTTTTTTTTTGTTCTTTGAAATCAGTTCTCAATATCTTATTTTTCTTTTCTTTTTTTATACATGGGTTAGTTTTCTTCTGGTAAATTTAATCTTTTGTCTTTTAACCTGGTTTTTGTCATATAGCCTAGTTAAATCAGGCCCTCAAATGAGCTAGAATTTCAATTTGTTTTTGTTTTTTTTGTTTTTTTTGAAGATATTATGATTGCCCAATTGCAAGTGTCAAGTGTATTTTAATTTTGTATGTGAAGCACATTATGTAAATCCTTCGTAGTACCAGTGTCATCAAATACAAGAACTCTGGATTAGAATCAAGGGAATCCCTCACTCTTCCTGTTGCCAGAAAACAGAATTCTAGATTGTTCGAATATTTTGATTAGAAGAAAAAGACTGAATAAAATTGTTTAGTAAAGTAACATGAGGTTCAGTGCGTCATTGGTTCAGAAAAAGATCAAATGAGTTCTTGAATATCTGTTGCTTGCATATTGTAACTGTGAAGTTTAGAAAATCAGCCTGTCCAGAACTCCCTCCTCCTTTTGGGAGCATAGTGTATGTGTGTGTATATATATATATATATATATATATATATATATATATACATACATACTTGTACAAGAAGAGTCCATGACAAGGGAGTTTTGGGTAGTCCTTGGGCAAAGGTCCATACACCATTACATACAACTAGTGTTGAGCGAATAGGATTATAACAGCCACAAGCACCTGCAGTTGGGCCCTCAGCATCGCTAGTGTGGAAGATTGCAGATGACTGTCAGACAGGACGCCTTCAGCCCCAGCACAGTGGACCAGTCAGCATTTTGAGAGAGAAGGGAGAAGGCAGCATCGAGCACAACGCCCATGGAGGAAGCTTGCAGTGTCGTTCCTGGTAGTGAGCATCTATCTCTTTCAAGGCTAGCTAAAGACCTCCAGCAGCTGGTGCTGGCGAAGAAAGACTAGTTCCTGGACACATTGGAGATCCCGTTGAGTCAGAGATACTGCAGTTTTACCCGCAAGTGCTAGAGTTCAGACATTAACAAGAAAAGGGAGTGAGTATTTCACAAAAGGCTGACTTAAGAAGATGAAGCAGGTAAGAGTAACCACTTTGCTTGATTTGCAGATGTGGAAAGAGGCATTCTCTTCTTGCTGAAAATCTGTAGAGACCTGATAACATGGAAGGTTCTGGATGGGTAAGACTTTTTCAAAATATTATCCAAGGCTGATCATATTGTAATCTTACAGTGCACATGGTGATTATACGAGGTGCAAGGGTTCTTTTAAGGTAAGCCAAGCAGGATGACATCCAGTATTACTTTGACCAGAATGAGCCTGAGACCTTCAACACACTGACTGGAATACCTTGAAAGCAAAATATGTTTCCATGTCAGAGAGTCTTGATAAAGTTGACAGTGATGAAACACAGAGGTGGAAAGAAATTGCCATGCTCTGAAACAGTGAAACAGTATTTACACCCAGTGGCTGCTTCATTAGGCACACCAATACAATGTATTACAATTTAATACAGCAGGTATGCCAGAAATTTCTGCCGTTGACTCAATTCAAAGTTGAGTTATTTATTTATTTTTACATTGTTAGAGGTGTGTATATTCAATTACATGTTTATTACTGAGTTAATAGTTAATAGTGGTGTTGTAACGGACAATATTATATTGAGACGTGCTTTTGTGTGGTGCGTTTTTGTCCTCCGTATTACATACACTGAAGGCTGCCGTAGTCCAGTAACACAACTACTAACTATAACCTCAGTGTTAAAACATAAGTTAAATAACCACTTTATGACAGTTTTAAAAAAGAACATTATAAGCTTCATAAAAGTAGATTTAATGGCACAACAGTTGTATCGGATTGCATTAGATTGTATATAGGTACCTAATAAAGTGGTCACTGAGTTTATATACGAATGTCAAGCCATCACTTGTGTCGCACAGTGTTGATATGTATGCAAATAAGGTCCTTGTCAGTCTAGTGCAAATAAGCAAAACAATGTCATAATATGCAAGTAACTTTCATAGAGCAGCAATTGGAGGTGATATAAGTATAATGTAAAAATTAGTGTTAATATGCACTTTTATAATGCAACATGAAACCTCAACATAATCTCCCCAAAGAAAGAAACAAAATATATGTATTTACTTGAAAGGCAGTCGCATGAACATATGGAAACCGTATCAAAGAGAGGTGCTGTGATCACAACTTGAAACTAACCAACAGTGGTATGACAAACACAATATATGTAGAGTATTTAGTATATGAGTATTTAGTTGGCACTCTGTCCAAGAAGTGTAAGCATAGATGACTTTTCAAAAGCTAAACATTTTCCATTAAGTGCAGACATTCTGTCCAACGCATCCATTCAAAATATGTTGAACAATAATAACTCCAGACTCTACTGTTTGTAATTCCTGTTCTTGAAGATGTGCCAGTTTTACAGGAAGTGATTCAACATGGTAAATTTAAACATGCATTCCCAATTACACATCTTAATAAAAGAATACATTTACATTTTGGATAATGTAACATCTTTGAGATTGATGCACATCTAACATTCGTTTTAAACTTACGTATGTCCGTGGCAAACATGTCGCACTCTGTCAGTGGTTGTAAAATGACCCCCATGAAAAAACCGAAATAATCCTTGATTACCTTCTGTAAACTCTATTGCATTTGAAAGTATTCATATTCATGTTAGGGTTCAACACAGGTCAGGCCTACTCAGTCGGAAAAATGGAGAAACAATGCCAGCCGATATGTTTCTCAATCGGTTGAAGGATAGTGTTTCTGCAGGGGAATGTAGAACGACCGACTCTATTACACAGAATAAAGTGGTGCAAAAACACACCAGTGTCAATAAACGATGTTTGCCAAACAGTAAGATATGTTCAGTGTTTCTTGTGCTCTTAAATAAAGATATTTTCCATGACTTGGACTGTTTTATTTCTGAAACAATATACAGAGCTGTAAATATTTGTATTTATTTTTGTAAAATATAACTGTTCTTAATGTGTATTTGATTCCATGAGTCTCTCGCCAGTTTAGTTCGCCACACACACCCTCTGACAGTTTGTCGTGAGAGCAGAAAATGGGCTTGGTGTTCAAAGGTAGTGTTTGTGTGGGGAAAGTGCACGGAGAGCATATACTGATTGCGTGGCGCTTCACCTTTGTATATGCTTGTCCGGTTTGGACCATTGTCAAGTTGTCATGCATGGTTTCCCACTGAGCATACTTACTGTAGCTCGACAATTGTACTCTTTGTTGTGTGACATAATGAATGCACTGGGTGTGATTTCTTTTTCGAAGGGAGTTATGCCGTATTAAAAGATTTAGGTTACTGTACAAACAAGCTTGCGCAAATAAAGCAAGCAGATTGTAAAAGTGGTTTAAGGCTTTTGTTTCGGTACGGTATTTCTTTTCTTTACTTCTTTGTAAGCCCTTTAGTAGAGCCTTCATGTCAAGAACTGACTTGAACACGTGGTAAGTTATGTAATGGTGCCTTTGACTATACTGTACATCCATCTGGCATCAATCTGTTGCGGGCCAGAGTACTACACACAATGTTCTTTCAGTAAATAAGAGGCCGTATAGCTGTAGGAATACTTTATTGAAAAGCACAGAAGTCAGGATTTTATAAAAGAGCTTGGGCAGCAAATCATACAGGGACAGTTATAAAATATGAGGAACAATGATTGAAACAATCAGAAATATGATATATACAATATATACACACATACAGTAATCTCATAAGAAAGTAATGTTTATATTTACAAACAATATCGGTTAAAGAATCTGAGTACAAAAGAACTAAAATATCAAAAATATTCCAACATTCAAGAGAAGTGCGCAAAAACTATACAATAGTTCTGCAGAGCTACTAATGCTTTAAAGCTGAACAACTAGAAAGTTATTGCATAGTATTACTATGATAATGCAGTACCATATTACAAGGGAGATAGGAGGTTGTCCTCGCTCTTGAAAGTCTTTTTGATGCGAGGAACTAGAAAGACACTGCCGTCCGTCGACTGCTGGAGGGAGTAGTCGGAGGGGGAGTAGGAGTTCCCCTTCTCGTCCCTCAACATGCTGAAGACCTCCAGGTACAAGCTGTTGAGTTCCTTCTTCATTTCCTTCAGGTTTGTGATGTTCTGGCTCTTCTCGCTCAGCAGACGGTCCTTGTCATCCTTCAGCGAGTCCAGGTTGCTCTCGAGACCCACTATGTTCTCCATCTTGCGTTTGCGGCAGTTCTGGGCAGCCACCTTGTTCTTGCCGCGGCGGCGTATGTCTCTGACCAGGGCCAGCTGGGCCTCGTTCAGTTGGTGCTTCGACATCATCTCGTTGAAGTCGTCAACAGGCAGATTGATAATCATGTCAACGGTGAACGGGATTTTGAGGGCCTTGGCCCTCTGCTCGTCTCTGGAGAGACGCTTTTCCGAGCGTTTCTTCTGCTTGTCTTTGGTGAAGGGGGTGCTGTTGTGGCCGTTCTCCTCTGCCGGGTCGGTCTTGTATTGTTTGGGATTCTTTTCCTGCTGCTGCTGTGGCTGCCCTGTCGCTGCAGATATATAAATTGCCGACTGAATATGATCAGGTTGGAAATTTAGTGAGAACATGTCAGTGTAGTCAGATTCAACACTGCCGGGGTTGTTGTCCATCTCCTCCATGTCTGAATCGCTGTAACCAAAGGACTCGTCTCCATGCAAAGACTTCCCAGGTGAACTAGCGGTTGGGCTCGTGTTTGAAGAGATTCCTGAATCTGAGTCTGGCATTTCTGCCATCAGATTATGTTTTCCTCTGTCAAACGCATCTCCAGACGAGAGGCTGTAAAGGTCCACTGGTGTGAAGGGAAGCTTGTTTGGGATATCAGACACGGCGTTACTTCCATTTCCTTCAAGGCCACTGCTTTCTTCCAGAACGGCGTTGGGGTAAAACATGTCGCAGAAACTTTCTGCGGTGAAGTTAGCGTTTAACTGAGGAGCTTTCTCCTTCATCTGGCTGGGATTGTCTGGTGGGACCATGCTGGGAACAGAGCCATCGAATGTATTCATAAACGGTGCAGGACAAACATCTAAAGTGCTTGTTTCCCCGTCTGTGTGATTCATGGGGTAAAAGGTGTAGTTTGGATTCTGCACTTCAGGGCTGTTTGGAAGAGGATAAGTTGTGGTCTCCAGTGTGTCTTCCATTTGCATGCTCAGGCATTCCTAGAAGAAAAAGATAAAGAACCATTAAAGTGAACACAATGAACATATTACAGTACAAGTTTAGTTTAAAATCCAAGATGAGAGTGATGCTGTGGGTGCATGTATATTTATGTGCTCATACATACACCTTCAGTTTCTTCAAAAACATGGTCTGTGTCACATTGTGATGACTGACTCATCGACATACTTACTTATCTATTATTATCTAAACCACAAGGTTTCATTCCTGGAGCTTTTAGTAATGTGTTTGTTCAAGTGACTATTTCACAGACAATGCTGGTAGAGCTGGGTGCAGCACAAGACCAAATAAATATCTAGTTGTTGAAATAGATCAGAAATCACCAATACCAATCTCCCAGCTTGCAGTTGCTGAAAAGTTAAGCGACCACATAATCTTTACAAAGCAGCTAACAAGAACCTCCTTTTTTTTTTCTTTTTTTTTTTTTTACAATTTAAAGTCTTATCAGCAGCTAACTAATGCAACGCTATGTAAGCTGTAAGGTTAGGACTGTAGTCCAGCCCACAGTGAGAGGTCAAGGCAACAAAAGCACACGGCTCCACCCATTAGCTAATGCAAATACGAGCTGCCTCAAAACAAAACCAAGAAGGCAGCTACTGAGAAACTACTGTGCACAAATCTTAACATTGATGCCAGAAAGTAGAGGTTTTACTGCAACACCCTCTCTGACCAAGACGTCTGCTCGATGATTATAGATACTGCATCGCCTCTTGGAACACCCACCTGTCTAAAAAGTCTCAGAAATGTAAGCTAACCACAGTGGAATGGGCCAGTTGCACCTGTCTCACATGTATGAGACCCCATTCTCACAGAGCAACAAAAAGGTGTTTGTCCTCTAATGCCGGGCTCCTGCCCCATTGATGCATTTTTTGAGTAAAACACCAAGCCATTGATGTGGTAGAATCCGTGTATTATACCTGCAGCTCAGGGAGGGACAAAAGCTCCATCCAGGCCTGCTCCAAATCTGGGGACATCCTCTGTGGTGGTGGTGATGGTGGTAGTGGACCTGGGGAGAGGGTGACTGGCGGCAGAGACGGCTGCTCGGGGGACATCATGGGTGCTGAAACAGCAGTTGTGTCCAGGCAAACGGAGGTGTTCTGTCAGACAAACACAAGAATATGACAGTTTTACACAAGAATAAGACAGTTGTTGAAGGCTGCCAGCTATGTGTAATTCAATGTTATTACCTCAGCTTCCTCTACAGGAAATGTCTCAGCCAGTAGCTGCAGACATTCGTCAAATGACATGGCATCATCGTTCTCTTCTGTGAAGCTGACATCCTGCAAGAAAGGTTCAAATACATGTTAGACTTTACCATCTTTCGTCCTTTGTGGCACACCATCTTTTAAAAACAGCGAATACATTTATATTTATAGAACTTATGTCTCTGTAGAGTAGCTCCTAGAGCAGGATACGCCGATGCAAAACTACAGAGCCACCTGTGTTTCAGTAATTACACAGGACGAGTGGTTACCTAGCTACGACACAGCCGCAGCCTATCAAAAGAAGTGGGAGTGGTCCACCTCTGACATGAGTAATGACGGCCGCGTGCAGTACCTGTGTAACCTCTAGAGGTGTGACGACCGACTGCAGTGGGGTGCTGGGTGGCAGGCGGGGCATGTACTCTCCCGTTTCCTCGTCGAGCTGTAGCTGTGCCAGCAGGGCCTTCTCCTGCTCCCGGTCCAGATGCTGCCTCTTCTCTTCCTCTAGCTCCCGCTGCCTCCGCAGCTCGTGTTCTTTCTGACGGTGGTTGTAGTCAAACACCTCACGCCTGGCGCCGAGATCAATGTCCTGCTTCCACAAGATGTCGATCAGATCCATGTCCTAGAAAAAGAGAGCCGCAAATCAGTTTGGTGAGTTGTGAGCCATGCTGTGCTGCAGCGAGACCGTGAGCAGCACTGGAGTAAGGAAGAGAGCGCCCCGCTGTGAAGCGTGGCTGCTGCACCTGCCACACCCTGTCCCTCAGTATCCATTCACTGACAACAGCACTGGCACTAAAGTCGAGAGGGAGAAGCCTCATGAATAATAGATGCACTTCTCTCTTTCTCCTGCCGCCACACGCCAGCAGAAGTCACGTATCCTCACTTGATACTCTTTCCAAGGGAAGCGATCATTACCCATCTCATTACATCGAGGTGTGAATTCATGGGTCTCGTTCAAACTCACAAAGAGGGCACAATCTCAGTCAAGTTTTTGCACAAGTGACCTCATGATTAGTTCTCTAAATAAGTTCAATCACAAACATTCATGTCATATTGAATCAGGAAGTTAAAGGTTAAAGTATCTGTTGTTGTTTTTAAGCAAGGGAATATTATTATGCAGTGTTTCTCCTTTGTTCCACATCCTCTTTATAGAACCACGGTTCTGGGAAATGTGTTCTTTATTGTTTTCAAATGACAACACAGTAATATTCCTTTAGGGAGGTACAAACAAACACAATACCGGATAAAAGGCCGTAGATCTGTTGCTGGGTACAGACCTCGTTTCCTTGTTTTCCTTCCTGCGACAGTATCTTCACGTAAACAACCACAACTATGGATACCTGACCTCAGCGTATTCTGTCACAACACTGCACACATTATTCTGTCCTACATTTAGTATATTGAGTTCTTATTAAGCTGCTGACAATACAGAACGTTAGACACAGCCTTTCCTGTAGATTTCCACTACACTGGTCTGAATGTTTTTGCCTTTTTTAAACAAGAATGAGCAAAGATAAACTCTGCTGCTCTCTTCCTTGGCTATTTTACACAGAAAGTGTTTACAGAAGGAAACCATTTCTCAAGGCTCAGGGATGTTGCATAAACCCAAGACACTGGTTCACAAGAACATGTCTGAGCATGTGACTTGTGTGTTTGTTCCTCAAATTTGTGTGTAAACTGAACTTATGGGAAAGGCACTTTAATGCTTGTAATCAAGATGGCCAGACAGACATAGCTAGGGGGAAGCAAAGAAGGACCTGAAGGGAAATAAAGCACAAAGCAGAATAATACACAATAAAGAGGATGTGGAACAAAGGAGAAACACTGCATAATAATATTCCCTTCTTTTGATTTTTTTATATTCAAAGGAAATGGAGTATGTGGTAAATCTTCATGAACTCACAACAATAGCAAACAAGCATCTAAATATATTCCCAAAACCTTGTTGACACCGTTTTTCTGACTACAGTTGTAGCACTGAAAAATAAGAACCCACTAACCATCTTTGACTCAATGTTGCATCAGACGCATGACCGCTGAAGGACGACACGTCAGTCAGGCTGCCTGCTATAACGGAGTGAGGGGTGAGCAGCACACAACCAGCCATTATGGCTTCTGAAGGAATGAGGAACTAGCCTAAAGTGTCTAAGTGGGACATCTGGTCATCCATGTTTTCCAAACTAATAAACCACATTCATGTCTGTTTGTCACACACTACAAACTCATCTGACAAGTCAAGCAGGTTCCTTGTAGAACAATGTAATGGCTGTCGGTTATACAGGGAAGTTCAATAAGCACTTTCACTGTCACTGATTAATTTAGCATTTACATATTGAATAACCAAACTCGCTGGTTTTGTAGTCCGATTGATGCCAAATCGACTGTGTAAATGTATAAGGTCTGTAAGATCAGGTTATCTGCTTGGTATCAACAACATGGCTATCGCTGTCACAAGACCTGAATTGGCACCAGAACAAGGAAACTGGCTCATACAATTTCCCGGACCTCTCTGCCACACAATACACAGCTATGCCAGACAAACAACAGGCCTTTAGTTTAAAATAATGACTCAACATAGAGATCAGACACCAGACAAATTATAACACACATATTAAACAACACATATAGACACACTTTGAAAACAAACAGAGCTAAGAGCTAGTGGCCCCTCTGGCTATCAGACTGGTTGACAGAGGAGCGATACAAAGTGTTCATGCTGTGGGTTGCTCATTTACCCTTCTTCATCTTAAACAAGGGCCTCAAAGGGGACCTGACTCCAGTGGTTTATTACAGCTTCTTTCCCCTCAACTCGGTGGACATCCACCCTTAACCGAGGATGATGAAACACAGCAGCACATGTTCCAGAGCAGCCCTTTTGACCCTCATCAGTCAACCGTGGGCTTCCACTGACCCTTCACTTATGACAGATTTAACCAAACACTTAAGATGTATCACATGAGAAATAATCCCATATTCAAACATCTTATTCAGTGTGTACGACCAATAACAAGTAGCCTATAGTTGTGGTTCTTTAACATGTCAAAATACATTGAAAAAAAAACAAACAAGCAAACACTGAGGCAAAAGTCTGGCCTAGATAAATGATTCACCACGGTTACAGGCTTGTCTATATCAGATATGGTAGCCTATCACATGCTTTGATGAAGAAGGAAGGGGGGGCTGGACAGTTACGAGAAATAGGCTCACGAGATTCATAGATTACCAGACAAGTTAAAGATACATTGTTATTTTAGTCGAAGTAACAGCTCCAACACTAAGATGGCAGCCTAGTTTTTAATATTATTTTTCCTGGTTATGTATCTTGCCGAGGCAAACGTCACATGTGAATGACTTGCAAAAGTGAAAGCTGTATTGAGGAGCAACCTTAATATGTCTATAACTAAAGAAAGCCAGGCCCACGGTGTATTATGTGTGATCTTTTCCCCCAGCTGCTATTTCTACATTATAACCTCTTAACTGCGCAATAACCAGGTTGTCACTGCGTATTGTCCAATTTGCTATAGCGAACATTAAAAAAAGTTCACCTGAACTATTGTGCTTTTAGAAGCGTGTGAAAGGCAGTTAGCCGTCAATGTCCAGCGATCACTTTGAATACATTCTCTATTTACCTGTTGACTGGAATGCATCATCTCCATTTCTATCATCCTGGAAAGCTGGCTGGCCGTAAAGACACGCCTTATGATTGGTAAATGTGTGTGTTATTCCCTTCGGATGGCAGATAAAAATGGCGAGAGGTCCAAAGCAGATAGAGTCCGTCGTCGCAGCTGAGCGGAGAGAAACATTGCCTCCTTTGAATCTAATGAACATCACGGAAGTGATGGCCCTGCCCACTGACCGGCGGCGCCGGGATCGTCCCCCTCACACCGGCCTATGAGGCGGGGAGAACTGCGCGTGTGCATGCGCGTGAAGCCCGCTAGGTCGAGCTGATGGAGGCCTGAAAACACTGGTTACAAAATAAAAACACGATGCACAACATATATATATATATGTGCACGTTCAATTTGTAATAAATCTTAAAGACGAGCGTGTAAACGTGATTGGAAATGAATCAACATGATAAAACAAACCAGCACTGGTTGTCTGAAAACTATTAAAGTCACAACAAGTTACACTTAATCTTCTGAGTGTCACCATTTCTAGATGCCAAAAAGCCAGTTTATATGTAGGCCAGTTTATATGCAGACCTATATATGAAAGTAAAAATAACATAATCGTTTCTATTTTAACTCCGCCATCAGAAGAGTTTTGATTGGTGCATAACGCCCCCTGCTGGTTAGGGTTCCCAGTGTGGAGCTGGAGGCCCTGGGGCCCTAATGTCCCCGTGGAAACACTGAAGTCATCCACTGATGGCTGGGAGATTGTCACAAAGCTTTAAGGAGACAAATGTGGGCTTTGGTCAGTGGTGGAAGAAGCATTTAGATTGTTTATTTAAAGAAACAACAACATCTGCAAGTTATATTCCTGCACTTACAATTGAACTTCAGTAAACATTAGGAACAGAATGGAGCCAACTTAAGTAAGCTATCTACACCAAAAGTAATCATGATGCTAAATGGTCCCTGTCAGTGCATATTCTTACATTGTTGGATCACAGTGTTTGATGCATTGACATGCAAGCAGTACTTGTACTTGTATTACTTGTACTGTAGGTTGAGGTGGAGCTCATTTTAACTGCTAACACTAACACTTTTGGGGTTAGTTTTATCTATAGCAATGCATTGTGTTTCATTGGCTTTTGTACAAAATCTAAATCTGAAAAGTCACTAATAATTATAGCTGTTAAAAAAATGTAGTGGAATAAAACAAATCATATTTCCTTTTTGAAATGTAGAGTAGAAGTAGCTGAAGCCTGAAATGACAGTACTCATTAAGGGAAAGGATTTTAAGTGAGGCTACCTCACCACTGCACTGACGCAGGCTACAGTACATCATTAAATATAATTTCTTTCCGACACTGACTTTGGTACATGTTTATTTGTTTGGCTTATATTGATATACTGACAATAATAAACTGTGACAATGTTATTTATTAAAGCAGCCAACTAGAGACATAACCAAATAAACTACAATACGGCAGGCATGATGATATTAAAATAATAAAGAGTAGCCTAACGTAAAGTGATTAGAAACTGAATGAGGTGTACACCAGTGGTGAAAATAACTATTTACATATATATTGTCTTATTTACTCAAGTACTGCACTGAAATGTACGAAAGTACAATTTTGAGGTACCTACTTGTACTTGACTATTTTCATTTAAAGCCATATTTCTATTACATTACAGATGGAAATATTCTCCTTTTCCCCCCACTAGCCTACATTTAGGCTGTTTTATAGGCTGATTAGGCTTATAGTATGATTAATTTAAATGTGATGCAGTGTAGAGTATTATTACACTGTGGTATTACTAATTGTACTTAAGTAATGGGTCTGAATACTTATTCCACACAGTTAGTATAATATGCCCCACATTAATGAGCTTCAAGAACATTCAAATGTCAAGAAAGCATTTTCTAACAGTGTATCTTTGGCTGAAGTATGGTTAATGATGCATCGGTAAGGTTAGATTTGTTTAGCTTCATCTTAACTAGTATGAGAAAAGATTGTTTTTGACATGTGTCAATATCAACCCAGGCTATAACGGATCTGATTGACCTACTTCTCTCATTGCAGACAGGCATGCAGGAATGTAATCTTGCTGCATTAACTGCTATTGTTGTAACTTCAATGATTAGGCGACTGCTATTGCAGAAAGTTGTTAAGACTCATAAAAGTGAATTACATTTGAACCATGCTGACACATCAGCGAAAGTAAGAGGTCGGATCGAGATGTAATTAAGTGTCTTTTGAAATATGTCAAGGTAATAAGACAGACTTAACCCTGGCTGCAGCACCTATCTGTGAAGAACCTCACACTAAAGTGCAGCTCACTGTGTCACTGCGTGAAATTACACTAAAAAAGCCCTTTTTTTCTCCCTTCCCCCTGCCCCCTCCCCTCCTCCTCCTCATGCGCGCTCATGAACACGCGTTCACGTTTGGCAGCTCCACGTCGACATTCTTCCAGCTGCATATAGTGAACTGCACAGGACTGGGGGGAGGAAAAGGTAAAAGCGACGGTAGCCACCTTACGATTAGAGCACTGCAAGTCCGCAGACGGACACCTACCGCGGTGAAAACAGGCGTTTGCACTGTGAAGTCAGCCACGGCCTGCAATATCCTCAGATCGCTTTCTGCTTTTTATCATCAAGAGTACTTGCCCCTCGTGTTGGATTGCAGCTGGTCCCTTGCGACCACCTATAGCCTATCAGGTACAGTATGGCTTGAAGAAGTTACTTTATCACATTTCTTCCTGTGTAAATCATTGTCAAGATCGTGATTGAGTCGTGACACTATTTGTTTTATTGCATTATTTTTGCACTTCTGAAGTTGCTGTCACTTGATTGCTGTTGAAGCGGCAAGTGCGTGAAGTACCTTCAAACTGACAGAACTTAATACTGCTGGAGCTCAGCTGGCCTTCTGCACTTCCCTCATTGCTGTCCATCTACATTGTAAAGAGAATAGCTCGTTTTTTCCTGAGTCTGTTCAGTTCAGAGAGTTGTTAAAGCTCAACAGGTAGACTCGATGAAACACTGGCGCAGGAGTGATACTCTGGAGTTAAAGATATCACCATTAGTGGAACCTTCAACCATGTCGGCTAATATAGGGACTGCTGCAGTTTGCAACCAACCAGATGGTGAAGGGTAAAGAGGTAAGTAAATGCCTTCTAGGATGATTTGAGGCTGGATGTCTGACAGGATCAACTATTGCATATGCCCTAATGATATTTAACCATTTCATTATTTTTGTGGAGAACTTACCATGTGTAAAAAGACTCCTCTGGCCTGCTTTACCTGTTTGACACTAAGGAGTATCCACCAAACAGCGAGCCTTTCTGTAGGCCAAGTCCTAAAAGTCTTACCCACTTCTTATTCACAAGTCTTATAAACTACATCTGCTATTTTCTCTCTTGTAGCCCCATGTTTCAAAAGTCAATACAATGGAAAAAAGATATAATCAAAGTGGATGTCCTGTTCACCTTGTTTTTTGTGTCTTACAGCAGGTTAAAGTAGCACCAAGTTGGATGAGGCTCAGCACAAGGACAATCCTATGAGGTGGCACTTTGGCTTTCCAAATAAAGTTCTGTGCTACACTTAGACTCTTAATTGCTTGCAGTCAGTGCATTACAGAACTTTGTTTTGGGAGTTAATACTTCATCCTGTGCAAAATAAACCTTCACACGTCTGGACTTTTAAGTTTTTTGCAATATTACTGTTGACAAATAAAGTTTCTCTCTGTTTTAAGCACTTCTCACAGTCTGTCTTTTTTTTTTTTTCTTTTTTTTTAAAGTTTCAATCAAAGTTCATTTGTATTCTAAAGTAACAATACTGTTGTTTGTCATTTTTGTACTCTAACTTAGTGTTAAATCATCACTTAAAGAGCACTGCTGTGTGCCATATGGAGACAGTAGTCAGGTGAGTGAGGAGGTAAACAGTGAAGTCGTATTGTTTCAGGTTACTCTGGTTTTTAAACCACGTCACAAATTACACATGAGGACTTTTGACATTATGATGATGCTGTTTTTGTGAATAAAAAAAAATGATGTGGTAGACAATGCAATTATAAATGATTAGTATAAAACTAGATTTATCATCTCAGGGTTAAAATGCCAGCTTTAGTGAAGAGGCTGTGTAGGGTAAAACAGACATTTAGTGTAAGAAGCATTACTTCATTACTCCACTTTATAAACTGGATAAAGGTATTATTTGTAAACTTCAGTTTACTTTAACATACTGAAGGTTTATTAACTATCAAAATAAATGTTGTACACGACTTGAAGTCCTCTTGAATATTAAAGTAGTAATACTAGAAGGGCTGAATTAATTTTGTCTGTAACAACTATGTGACTGTGAATTCCAGTCTCATCAGTCAATGGACAATATGCAACCAGTCGTCTATCGCAAGGCATGGTGGGAAATACTTAAAATGGTGCATTCGGGTGCAGAATGAAGAGAATGCGAGCTGTGTAATTGTCTAATTCTCTGGTTTCAAAGCCAAACATTGAGAGATATTAAAAACATAAAACACGATTGTCGTGTTCGGTCCACAGGTGTCATATTCCCATTGCGTATTATGTCCTACCTGCAGTCCAAAACCCCAAAACATAGTCCTACAGTACCATAATAATGACAAAGAAAAGCAGCAGATTGTCATTATTTGGAAGCTATGACAAGCAAATGTAGGGCATTTCCGATGATAACATAATTTTCAATCTCCTAATTATATATTTGATTTATCGTTTCATCCCCAAATTTAACCAATGCATAATAACCATTTACCATAAAAAAAAGATTGGTTGACATGTATTATATGGTTACGTTATTATCTTACAATTATGTTTTTTGCGTCCCATATGCTGTATGTCAGACTGCCAAACGTGTCAAGGGAGGTTCCCATTTTCCAGTTGCCAGGTATAAACCACTATTTTGGTCATTCGTGTGTACTGATCGTGATATATCCGACGGACTATGAACGCAGCGCACTTTCCCTGTGCTGACCTCTGACAGCCGCCCATGGATCACAAACACGGAAGCAGCATGGCGTCCAACAGCAGCGGCGGCGGCTCCGACAGGCAACGGGTTGCCCAGCAAAGACTGAGCATAATTGCCGGGCACTTACAGAGACCAGTGGACGTTGACTCGACCATCCTTGCCGCGGAGTGCAAAGCCCAGGGCTCCGAGACACACGTCGAGGAGAAGACTGTGCCGAAGAGGAGGTACAAGGCTGTGATGGAGCGGTGGACGAGGGTCCATCCTCTGTGGCTTTAGCTAGTTATTAAGTCAAACATCAGTGGGTTAATATGTAAACAAGACCCAATGGGGTGACATGCTCTGACGGACTAGCTTTCCAAGCATCTACAGCGCAGGGAGACATGGCTAAAGCTGGTTGTAATTAGCCTGCAAGCTAACGTACTTGGCTACAGCGTGGGTGCGGCTAGGTTCACTCTCAGGAGTTTAACGTCGATGTGGTCGACTTTCTTAATCTTAAAACCTTTTCTGTGGCTCTTAATATATAATGCAATTTGTTTTATGGCAGTTTTTCCGTGTCAGTGAGATTCTAAAAGCCTAGAAAAATGTAAACGTTGCGGTGTTTACTGATGCTTCGGATAAACTACAGCGATGTAGTTCATTTCAACTGACACGAGTACGTCACTCTTTATTTGACGACCATGTAAACATGTTGGAAGGGTAATCATCGAGATATTGCAAGTTTTAGGTTTGTCTTAACTAAATCTCAATATACAGGAAAAACTAAGAGCAACAGAGGAAAGAGACAGTCAGACTTCTTGTCTCCTCTGTCTCCTGTGATTGGCCAGAACAAGTGGTGGTCTGACTTTCAACCTATTGGCAGCTCAGTTCCTTTTGAGGAACGCCTTCAAACTGTGCTGACATCTAGTGTCAGTCTGAGATAACAGCTACAGCTAAAGGGTGAAAGCAGCACTCAAAAGTATGAGCATTTGGCCTTGTAAAATTCATCATGTCCTGTTCTGGTCAGTGTGACACACTGATGATATGAGAGAGTGTTATGTCTTGCAGCCCTGTCTGTTATGCCAAGTGAGTCCTGGGCGTATTGGTGTTTTACAGTGTGGGGCAATTAAAAGTTAAGGACATAATAGTTCAACAGTCAGTGGGTTTATCCATCAGTATCAGCATTGTGAGAGACTGACATGGGGCATCAGTAAAGGGCAAAGTTATAGAGCAATACATATTTTTTTAACAGGAACAGGGGCAATACAACAGTGTGGTGAAGTTCAGGTAGCCTGCTCGTTGTCCCTGCCTTTTAGTTAATTTTACATAACCATATACCGTGCTGTGATCGTAGAATAACAGAGAGTCACTTTTTGTTTGGAGAAGTGCCAAGAGACGTATTTTCAGCCACAATTGTACAGTTTGGATGTACTCGCTGCTCCTTTCTGGTATGGTTAGTTCGGTGGTTTCAGGCAGAAATCCTGATTTGCAGGTTGCGTGGTGTCCCAGCGCTACCTAGCCCCAACTAATAGTTTTAATACAACGGCCCCACAATCAATCCTGCCTTCATGAAGATTAAAATGTCCAGTTTATGTTAAAACTGTTTAGTAAAGTTTTAGTTTAGGGCTGTAGTTTGTGCCACTGTTGAATTGGATTGCACTATACTGAGAAGCATTCCCAGTATATTTCCAGTGTAGTCATAGATATGCACATTGAATTAAAGATGTAAGTCCACATATTCCATGACTTAATTTCAGCTCATAGTCTAAGACTGATTATCTTTTATCTGTTGTCCAAAGAAGCATTATTGTAGAAACATAATTCCACCAGCATTATAGTGTTAAATGCACATGTTCATGCAATTTTAGCATATAATATGCAAAATTAGTTTTTTGACTGTTAGCATAATTTCAATTTTGCATTTGAAGCTGCTTCATCATTAAAAAAAAAATAGATTTTTTTTTAAATTCTGGGATCCATTTTGTTCCCTTTCCTTTTTGTGCTATGGGTCGAGTTAATGTCAGGACATATTTATTTATATATTCCAAAATTACAAATCACAGATTTGCCTCTGAGGGCATCTGTACAGCATGCTCTATCCTTGATTCAGATAAGGAAAAAAACTTGAGATACACACAGGCAGAAATTAGCTCAGTTTATCAAAACAAATGAATTGAGACCTACTGCTTTGCCTATAAAAAAGGCCGTGCTTTTGTCCTTAAATGTACAAACTTGCCACATTTATTGATACATTTCTATTCAGTATGTTCAGCGGCTTTGACAGCATGTCAATAGTGGCGAGGATTCATTAAAGTATGACTCGGTGTGTCTCTCTCATCTATACTCTCGCTCTTAATTTATAGGAAACTCCATTTCGTCTGGTATTAATCTTAATTATGGCTTTTACTCCACTGTGTTAGCATCCCATCCCAAGGGACCCATGAGTTATGGTTGCTCTGTGAGTGGTGAGCTGTCTGTCTGCAGACAGTAAGTACAGCATAGACAGTCTAGTATCCTCTGTGGTTGTGAAGCTGGTGATTATTATGGGACGTCCTCAACAGTATAGCATAGCAGCAGCTGTTTCCACATCTTAAGGAGTCAAGGCTGTACTCAAAGAACAGAAAAGTACGGCTGAAGCCTGCGTACTGTTGAAGCGGACATGCTAAATAATTAGCTGGAGCTTGATAGTTCAGCGCACACGTTTGGCCCTAATCATAAAAACTGAACAGTATTAAAGATAGCTATGGAGAACCGTGCCTACCAGGTGCCATGAATGCAAAATATTTCAATGCGTTTGATGGGAAATGGCTGACTGCACAGGCAGGGTGTCTGCTAGCCTCCCCCTGTTGATGGATATGCTATTTAAATGTGTCTCTTCTGCATGACAATGTCAACAAGCTGCCTGTGTGCAGAGCGCTATGTAGCTGTAGGCACCCGGGGAATATTGTAGGTGTGCTTGTCTGCTCCCTCCAATATTGTAAATTTGCCAACTGATAGCCAGCCCCACCTTGAATGAATGCAAAGACTGCGAATGACTGAATAGAATAAGGAGACTTTTACATTTTCCCTCAGTGAATTGCTATACGTCTGGTTGTTAAAATTTCAGCATGAAGTATTTTATCAGCAAGGACTCAACACCCATTCCTCTTTGTCTTGGTGAAATGGCCCATGCCCAGCGGGACTGTGGCACCTTCACACTTGTTTTTTTTTTTTACTTCCTCTGCTGGTATTTCATGTCATATTTTACCTTCAATGTAAAGTGTACGAATTGTGAGCTTAACCTTTGCCAATATTTGTTTTCCCACAGGCAGGAGATTATGAAATGGAATGGCTGGGGATACAGCGACACCAAATTCCTCTTCAATAAGAAAGGTCAAGCAGAATTTACCGGCAAAAGGTATTGTATATTATCACATCAACACTCTTGGATAATGTTTATGCTCATCTGTTGAGGATTTAGAAAAGAAATCTTCAGTACTAGGTCTCATTCACAGCCTCTAGTCTTGTTCTGTCACAGCCATGGTGCCTACCTTCATTCATAAGTTGGGATAGCTTGAGGATGGTGACGGTGCTGCATTGATCATTTTCACTGCCCCCACTGAGTGCTTTTGAGATCAGTAGCTGGCCCCGTCTTACACTCTCAGCAATGTGGTGCTATTGCCACCTAGTGGTTGGCATTTGAACTGTTTACTTTCATCTGAAAAGGTCACTGGTTGTGCTTGTCAGCTCTCCCCAAACTCTGTTGCTCATTAACAGAAACCACTTTCTAAATCTATTCAAAAACGGAGCATATTATGTCAGTAATTATTAATGTATCTCTTTGGAGGTTGTGGGTGCACGCTGTCATTCACAGACTGTTGGAGACAAAATATTTAGTTTGAATGTAAGAGGGGAAACGAAGCCAGTCGTCCTCATGCTTTCTGAACACGGCTGCAGTTTACAACAGCACCTTTTATCATAGGTATAGATGAGCCTTGTGATCGTAATCACGACATGTGACTTTGGCATAGACGGCTCTGCTTGTGAGATTGTAAACACGGAGAGCTGGCACACACTGTGCATGAGGATGTATTTTGAGTAATGAGCCAAACTGGACAGGATGTTGCACAGCAAATGGTTTCTGCCTGTGCAAGCAGTTGCCACGAACCGCTCGGTGCCCTCTCGACTGAAAAGCTACCTGGGTGGCTTACAATATCCATGGCTGGGGTGCCGCTGAATGGATGTCAAAGACTGTATTCTCCTCCTCCTCCGTGCCCACTGTGACAGAGGCTTTTTCATTATAGTGTGTGTTTCATGGTCTCTTGGACAAAGGCACACCACAGTCCCCTGATGGGCTGGCCCGGGCTGTGCCAGCGGCTCAATTATGCAGAGGATGGCGAGGGCGATCATATGGACAGCACTGTCATTGCTGCTCTGCTTGCCTAATAACCTCATTGGACTCAAACCTCACGCTCTATTCTTATTAGACACAGCCCTGGTTTTGCAAATGAAGAAGCCCAGTCAAGCATTTAGATGTTTTCAATTGGAGAGCTTTGACTTCCACGACTGGAAATCACTATTACATGAGGCGTAGTTGATTTTTTTTGTATTTTTTTTTTTTTTTTTTTTTGTATTGGTTGGTCAGTCACACAATCTGTCTTCTTTTACACATTCCAGGTATAAACTGAGTGGTATGATCATCCCTGCTCTGAAAGAATGGATGGAAGGCACGTTTGGAACCAATATGCAGCATAAATCTCCAGCAACGGTGAGTGTAATTCATATATTATTCGTCGTGTCTCCAATGAATGGCAGAAAAAGAGCACTTAGTCACAGTTACAAAAATCACAATGGCTTGTTTTGTTTCAGCCCATTCTGACTAGCGGTGCTGTGCAGCCTCCCACTCTTAACGAGGCCTTTGTGGAGGAACTGACATCCACAGGAATTCCCTTCTCTCTTGACGCAGAAGACCGGGTGTTTCGCGCCCACGGTAAGGCATGCTGGGAGGAGGCTTTGGACATATCCCTGGTTTTTTTTTAAATTAATATTTCTGTGTGCTTCTCATCTCATTCCTGTATTTTCTTCCAGGCCATTGCTTACACGAGATCTTTGCTCTGCGAGAGGGGAAAGTTGGTCGTGTCCCAGATCTGGTGGTATGGCCGAGTGAGTTCAGAAGCCGCGCTGTCTCTGTGTTTTTATCGGTCTGTTTTTCTCCACCCACGTAGCATCGCTGATTCCCCCACCCCTGCTGGCTTAGCTGATTTAAAGGGTTAATCTCTGCAGAGGCAGGGATATTAATATGTATGAGTGGAGGCTTAATAAGAATCGTCAGGGGGAGGACGGTTGACACCCAATACTCCACGGTTGGGCCCTGCACAGCACACCCATGAATTATGATTCCGAGATTGGTTTTCTGTTGTTATGGCTGGCACTATTTTATCATGCAAATGAGTGTTGACTGATGGCTGGAACTTGATTAGCACCCTCCCAAATGGGCAGCAAATCATCAAGAAACTGTAGGCGTCGTTTCATCCTCACCAGCACCACATTTAAATTTGACCAACCCCACAAATACGCTCTCGTTCGCTAGTTACCTAATCGATATTTTGACCAGTAATTTGCATTCCTCGGTCGTCCCACCGAGTCGAGCTGTGTATTTTAAGTGGCGGTTTAGTTAGTTGAACTGTAATCCGTAGGCAGAAGCTGTGTGTTGAATTGGATGACAAAATGCAGGCATTTCTCACTGCCTGTAAAAGCACTTGGGGCCAGTCGAGCACATCCACGTAGGTGGGCATTGCTACTCTTCCCACTCGCTCACCACTCCAGTGTGAATGGATGTGAGCGCCGTGATTGGCTAAAGCATGTTTATATTGATCCAGCACATCCCACCCCAGAGAGCGTAGCTTCATGCAGTGTGACTCCGCCTGAGGAAAGCCCCAGGCAAATCACAACTATCAGGCAAATCAAAACGTCCCCCAGCTCTAATGGCTCAGGCCCTACACATTTATTTATTGTCTCCTGTATACACACAGTGTTATTTCCTTTACAATGCGTCTACTCTGGTTATTAAAGACTTACTTTATGAATGCAATAGAGGACGGTAAATGGAAACATTTTCTTTATGATGGCCACTAATTTCTACAACGATATTCTGTGTCTTTGCAGACTGCCACAATGATGTCGTGAAAATTGTGGAACTGGCGTGCAAACACGATGTTTGTTTGATACCATATGGAGGTGAGTCGTGAAATCAATGGCTCCAAGCAGCATAATTAGCTGTCACATATTGTACACTTGATGTGTATTTATATTTAATGTACTTTAATATATTCTCTACTCCCATCCCGTGCTGGTGAATTGTTAATAAAGCCACGTAATCTGTGAATGAACCTGGTAAATAAGGTACTGCTGACATTCCAGGAGATGTTTTGCAGAATGTTTTTGCAAAAAAACATATTAAGAGGCATCCTGGACCCCCAATCTAAGCATATGATGTAAATCTACAGTTCACTCTCCAGCCTGGAGACCTCTATCATATGTCATACCGTTCTCTTCCCTCCCCCCCCAATGTCTCCTGGTACTGTAACTATTTCATGATGACAAAATGAATGAAATCAAATTAATCTTATATAGTATTGCAGCAGTTTGTCAAGAGCTTCATGAGAATGATAAAAGTCAGTCACACGTTTATGCATTTAACTCCTGAAGCCTCCAGTCATTTTAGAAGGATAGGTTATTTGCACGGTGCAAACTTGCCGTCTTTTTTTTACTGTGTTTTGCATAACTGTCACTTCAAATAGTCACACTTAAAAAAATAATAAAAGTGGTGTTCATTTGTGAAGATTATCTTTTTGAACAAAAGGTGTAAGTATCAAAAATGTTGGTTTGCCGCAGAGCATATTTTCTGTAATAATGCAATCATTTTCTTTCTGTGGAGGGAACCAGAGCCATGCTAACTTCTGGGGTTGGCCTGCAAACATGCATCATCCCTGCAGCTCTCTATATGATACCTGCATTTGCTACTCGTACCAGAACAATTCTTTTTTTCATACCTTTCTTTGAGAAATATAAACACATTTTTGTATTCATTATTTAATAGCAAGCGCTAGATTCACAAGTGTGTTGTTTGTGTTCAGAACATGAAAGCCGGGAAGTGTTTTGTGTAATAACACCTCTATAATAATAATCCTCTTGTAACTGTTGTTTGTCTCTCTCAGGGGGGACTAGTGTCTCCAGTGGCCTAGAGTGCCCCCCAGAGGAAACTCGCTCCATTGTCTCTCTGGATACTTCACAGATGGTACGTAAACACCTGTGTCTGAAGAGGTGATCTGCACTAATGACAAGATAAACAGAAACAAACTCGAATGCGGTACGATGCAGCCGAATGAATACCATCATTGTGAAACCTAAAATGTTGTGTTGCATTAAGAGTGTTTCTATTTTGTATGTGCGCTATGCCATTAATGTCTAATGAACTCTTATTCAGTGAGACGAGTAATCAGATTTAATTATAATCAGTTTTCACTATTTTAACAAGTGAACTCGTCGTCTCAACCTGTGCCACCAATTACAAATGCATGCTATTGCATTGTGGGAAATAGTGTTTCATCAAGACCACAATGAAAAATTGAGCAATTGTATTTTCCATGTTGGCATTTTTCTGTGTACTTTCATACACCAGAGGGAACGTTCTACATAATCAGAATAATGTTAAAGATGATAAATCAGTTAGTCAGTCAATAGAAATGTATTATCTTTATTTTAAACTTATTTATCAAGCAACAACATTTTATAGTTCTACATTCCGAGTTTCTTTTTTTAATATAAATGTAAATGCACTTGAATGCACTTGGGAATGCGATGGAACTAAATGTTTCAGTATTTTCTTACTTAATGAAAATAAGCTTTATTTTCAGCCATTTTCAGAATGAGCCTATTTGTTGTGTGTTGGTGGAGCACAACTGAATTCCTTTTTTTAAGTTGTTAAATGTGTTGCTTGGGGCACCAGCCATTAAGTTACATGGAATCTGACCATGACCATGATGATGTTTCATTGGATATGATATGAAATGCTGAATATTGTCACCAGTAGCGTCCCGCCCTTTGATCCAGGCTCACATAGAGGTGATATATAAGCTGTCTGGATGCTGCTAGCCTCGCAGTCATTGAGTTTCCACAGACACCAGTGACCGGTGTTCTGTGTCAGGGGTCAGAGGTGAGGTGGCTCCAATGGAAGCACATGAAAGGAACAGTGTGGTTGGAACATAAAGTTTACTACCTCTGGAGAATAATTGATGGCAGGTGTGAAATGACCTCCTGTAAGTAAGGCTGGGGCCACATGGCCAGCGGCCCAAATAAGAGGCATATATTTGGAATCAGATGTTAAATTGAGTTTAACCTTGAGGAAAATGTCTCCGTCCCGCTGCACTCATTTATCCTCAGACATGCGACCGTCCAGCTAGAAGGACATGCTGGTGCAGAACTTCAAAAAGTATTGTAGGCAAGGGACTGTCCCCGCGGACTGCTTTTAAAGACAGCGTTTATGTCTGAGCCCGAGATATTTCAAGTCAACAAACCAGATGATGGTGATACGCAACGCTTTATTTTATTAAGAGATCTTGTAACGTATGTGTTCTTTTTAGACAAAGTAAACAAACGGCGTTGGAGAGTATTTCTGTTCCACTGTATGGTATGAAGCATTTATACAGAATGTTTCATGACCTCCACACTCATGTTGCTTGTTTTTTTTTTTTTCCCTCACAGAACCGCATCCTGTGGATTGACGAGAAAAATTTAACTGCCCATATGGAAGCTGGCATCGTCGGTCAGGATTTGGAGAGATTGGTAAGCGCTGCTCATCCATCCATATTCATCCACTAAAAGAGCTTTTAAAAAAATGCTGTGTAATGTTGTGCCAACAATCAAGCTGTGTGACCATTCACATGCAGGTTGCCCATGCTCAGTCACCTTGGTACTCTTTGCTGAGTAGATCGAACAGCGCTTAGGAAAGGAGTTTGAGACGGGAGTGCTGAAGGGGAGAGATTAGAGAGTGAGGCGGCAGTCATGAGCAGATGGCACCATCAAGCTAATTCAGAAAAATGGAGAAGGAGCGGGCATTTGATGTAGGGGAATGCGTGAGCTGCATTTAAAGCAGACTCCACCTCTGCATTTAGACTGGGCTAATTTGATGGAGCAGATGGGTCTGCATTATAAACTGTCTTCCAGGGGAGTGCTGTGATAAAACAAGGCCTGACTTGAGCCCCGTCTTGCGCTTCCGGTGAGGGTTGTTGTTGTACTTTAAGGTCCTTCTAATTATTACCATTAAATGTTCTGCCTAAAGATGCAATCTGTTTGGGGGTGGGCTGCCTTCAGGAGAATGTGTGTTCCTGATGACCGACACATTTTCCTCAAAGCCGTCGGGATAGTGCGTCTGATGAAGGTTGCTCAAAGGATTTTTCCTTTGTCGACCCAAAGTACATGTTCACATTGTTATGGCCACGTGGCAAGTAACAACGTAGTCACTTACTGTTGTAAATTGGGCAGAACTATGGAAGCTGAATGTGCACCAATGCCAACAGCAAGCACGACTGTCTGAGACATAGCCTATATAACTCCTATATTTACATAAACATGTAGTTGTTAAGTTTCTGTAATTGTATTTTGACCAGTAATAATGATAAAAAGGCCTTTACATGTTGTTGTTGTTGTTGTTGTACACATAACATCAGTTATCCAGTCGAGCAGTGGAATTTGACACTGATCTTGTTTTAGTGTTTTTGTACTTTTTCCACTCGTTTTATTTTCGGCCAATGTAAAAATGTTTGATTTGCAGTGAAATGCAGCAGCAGGGCTTTAATTATATTTGTTCCCTTTTCTTGCTCATGTTCTTTTTGCTTGTTATTAAAACATTCTTTTGGGTTTACAACGACGTTGTTTTCCAAACATGTTTGGCTCGTTTATTATTATTTTTATTTCTTTTCACAGCTGAATGAGAGCGGCTACTGTACAGGACATGAGCCGGACTCCATGGAGTTCAGCTCCCTGGGGGGCTGGGTAGCAACCAGAGCATCAGGCATGAAGAAGAACATCTACGGCAACATTGAGGACCTGGTGAGTCCCCCGCCCTCCTCTTTACCGTCCTGCTCGTGTTTGTTCCAAAGCCTGACAGTCAGCACACAGCTGTTACTGCACACTAATTAGGAAGGAAATTATTAGCATATAAGTTTTGTGGACTTTAAAAGAATGCGACGGTTTGTATATTTTGTGTCTGAAAGTGTTTGTGGTGTTGCTGTTTTGTGGCTGAATAGGTCGTCCACGTAAGGATGGTGACCCCCCAAGGAGTGATTGAAAAGAGCTGTCAGGGCCCACGTATGTCCATAGGGCCAGACATTCACCACTTCATCTTGGGCTCAGAAGGTTTGCCGCCTATCTCGATTTCAGTACACCAGGGCATTTGGGCACGTGTGTGTGTGTGTGTGTGTGTGTGTGTGTGTGTGTGTGTGTTAATGTGTGGTTTGTGTGCAGGACTTTGAGATAAAACAGTAACATCAGGACGGTTCTCAGGCTCTAGGCTTCTTACACATTAACCAGCTTCGCAGGAAAAGTGATCTGGAGGTGTATAAGTTAGGAACCAGCAAGTGTCCTCCCCGCCCCATCTGCGGTGCCCTGTCCTTGTGAATGCCCACAGAGAATACCGCCATATGCCAGGTTCCCCCTAAATAATGAGGAGGTTCAGAGACTCTTGGCATCGCTATGTTTAACAGCTGTGAATGCAAACGTTATATTCATCCTACGAAGCACAGCAATCTGCTCCCCGACTGGGCTGGGATCACTGTGGAAATCTCCATTTATAGCCAAACCAGCAATTGCAGCACCAAGAGCACAGCTTTATATACAACATCCAAATCACAAGTGACTGCTGTAGAATGTAGATTACAACTAAGCATGTCTCCACCACATGAAAGTATTATTACTAGTAGATATGATTGTTAACGGGGTCGAGGCATGTGAAAATGATTAAAACATGATAGTGTCCAAAACATGTGAAGTTTATAAAGAGTGTCATAACATGTATGTGCAGCAGATTGTTGACAAATCAAATCGGGTTTCATTCAGCTGTAACAGCCACATCGAACAAGTTCTTGTAAGTGATGCTGAATTTAATAACTAGCTATGCTGTCAATCACAAAATGGGTTTGAAAATTTCTTCCATAACAGCAAGTTGATTCAACCTCAAAATCTGAAACTAGCTGAGAGAGAAATACTCTTTGAATGGATCCGTCTAATATCAGAATACCAGCGCTGTGGGTGTATAACTGTAGTCCACGGTAGCAGGTTGAATGTTTCAAAGGCCCACTTTATAAACTAAGGCTAATAATAAAAGTGAGAATAGTGCTTCGTATCGTGTGAAACATCTGGAGGTGAGCTGGGGTTTGGTGGTCTAGCAGAGATGGACCACACGTCTCCGGGAGTTCATATAATTCTGGGAGGCCTAACACTGGAACTAAGAGGTCACAGCAGACACAGTCTCATTAGAATGATCTACTTCCTCACCCCAGGAACCACATCTTGCAGTCTGACAGTAGGCCACAACAACAACACAGAACCACAGTCAAACCATCAACTATGTTCTGCATGTTAAGTCGAATGCGTCCATTTTATCAGAAACTACGGTTGAAACCTCAGAGCTTCTCATTCACCGCCCAACAACCGGGACTCCCCATCTCTCTGACCTTGAGCTAGCCTGAATGCAAAGTATTTTCCTCACTCTTGCTTTCAACCGGTGTAGAGAATGAGTGGATTAATCAATGATAATCCCTTCTTCTCTGTCAAAACTCATCTCAACCGTGGAGGGTGTAATTTAGTTGTGACGCTAACCGGTGCTAATTTAATATACAGAGTCATAGTAGTGGCTTCATAGTGGTCAATGTTTTTTTTTTTTAAATATTTGATGCTGGAAGCAGAGAGACTTTTCATCGTGAATAGTCCTTCTCCCCAAATCCTGTCAGATGAGGTTTATTTAATAGAGATGGTCACAGTACAAAAAAACAAAAAGGCTTAAACTGCACTCCAGCATTTCATTGCATTCATCCCCAAGAGTGTTTTTCTGACCTTGCTGTTCTTATTACCTCCCTTTTATTCCTCACTCACTCACCCTCCTTGACTCCCCTCCACTCTAGCTCCTCCCAAGCTCTCTCTCTCTCTCTCTCACTCTCTCTCTCTGACTCCTCCTTGCTCACTCACTCACTCACTCACTCAGTGGCTCCTCCTGCGTACTGTCAGGAAGGAGGAGCCTTTTTGAGGTTGAGGCCTAATGGAGTCACATGTTTTGCACTGGGCCACTAGGGAGCAGCGTGTGGCATGTAGTGTCACGTTAGAGGGCTCATTAACAACCACACCAGGCGGAGGAAGCCTCTTAGTGGAGCCAGCTATGTTCAGGGAACATGCGTCTAAAAATGGACATTGTCTGCAATAACACTGACTGGGGTGGGGTGGGGGGGTAATAGGTTTGGTTCTCACCGATAAAATGTCCCAAACATGATATTAGGTCTGCTACTAACAATTATTTTAAGTTAAACACACTTCCAATATTGTTTGATAACAGGTGTTGCGGTTTTACTGGACACAATTGCACACATTAAAACATGTTATTGAATAAAACGCTATAAATTCATTGATGGTGATTAAACATGAGACAGAGATGGCCTGTATACAGCCTGACACCGTTAGCAACTAGCAGGAGTTGGAAGAGACCAGAAACGGAGCTAAACAAAAGTGGAACTTCTATTCACCAGATTGCAACAGAAGTTTATATTGCTTAACAAGCACTTCCTAGCTACAGTTTACTGTGAACTCGGATACTCTTGTGAAAGCAGTTTTTAAGTGTTTTTCCCAGACATTTATGCTGCGTAAGGTAGACACTTTTTTTTTTTTTAAACATGCAATCTGACTCCTTCAGCAGCAGTTCATGTTTTCAGTTTTCAGGGCCATGAGGTCAGCCAGAGGTTTTGACATACCTGTATATATGTGTTGCTGCTGTTGGCCTCGCTGCCTTTGATAGGGCCCTGCTTTATTTCCTCAAGGTCTTAAGTTGATAAATCTTAATTGTGTGCGGTAGAAAACCAGATCTGCTCGGTGAAATGTGAGACAAAGGTCACCCAAGGGACCTTTGGGACGTGTAGCAGAGCCCTGTAAAACGGGCGTATGCTCCGCTCAGAGAGGGGGTTAGGTCGTATCAATTGTGGGAATGGATTTACTTCTTTCTGCACCACTCAAAATCTCTCACTGTGATTTTTCCACAGGAACCCTGGGCGTGGTTACGGAGGTAACGATGAAGATTCGTCCCGTGCCGGAGTATCAGAAATACGGCTCGGTGGTATTCCCTAATTTTGAGCAGGGAGTTGCCTGTCTCCGAGAGGTCGCCAAACAGGTAACATGTTAAACTATCTTTTAACATGTGGCGCTGAATCACTGCGTTCTCCTTCCATGGCTCTTTTTGAGTGCGTTGCCGGTTTGCCCAAACTGCAATCAGCATTTTTCAGGTCTTCACTTGTTTTAAACATACAGATCTGAATGTATTTTTAGACCAGCTTGTACTCTTTGTTAAAACCTCCAAACTAAGCCAGTCCAAAACCTTTAATCAGACCTTTATGTTGAGACGCGACAGGCTGACAATGCCAAAGCAAATCACAACCTTACGGTGCCAATTGGAACTTTTTTTATCAGATGCATCAAGTTAAAAGAAAGACGTTGAAGTCTATACACTGTACATTTGGGACATTAAGCAAGAAAGTAAAAGCTTTAATTCAAGGTTCCAACAGTCTCACTGAATGTTGACAATAATAAGTATTGGTTGAATTTGATATCTTGTTGTTTTCACATAATTGTGCCCTATGATTCCTACCAACTAATAAAGACCAACTTTTATTTTGCAGAGGTGTGCCCCAGCATCTATACGACTCATGGATAATGAACAATTTAAATTTGGTGAGTTTTGTTTGATCATTCACGATATATAGTCCAGCCTTGACCTAAAGCATTGCAGCTGCTGCCATTCCTCTGAGTGCTCTGTGGTGACCCTTCACTATACAAGTGGGACTTTATTTGACCTATTTCTAATTTTCAGGAAGTGCTTTTCCTTTTGGGCCCAAAGGTAACCATTGGCTTTAACCGGCTCATGGCAGGCTTTTAACCAGCAGCATTATAATCACTTTCATTTTTACTTTACATTTGTTTCCCTCTCTGTGTTTCTTTGTCAATATTTGTGTTGCTGTTTCATCGATTACCTCTGAGAGAAGAACAATGACTGGCAATGCTACCGCATGTAATGATTTTACCTTCTGCAGCAGTGAATTGTTAAATTGATTATTATTTTATTCTGCAGGAGAATAGCTGCACACAAACAGACGAAGAATTGAAGCAAAATGAAAAATGACCCTGGCCAAAATGAAGTAGTTGTTACATTGAAGTTTTATGATGTTGTTTCTTAAGGTCTGGTGGAATGCATCTGGCATTGCTAGAGATCTCCGTAAAGTTCCCCAGTCTCCAGGGATCTCATTATCTCCCCTATATTTCCACTTTTCACAGAGTAGGCACTTCTTAGCATTAAGCAGGGAAGATGAAGCAGCCAGGTTTTCCACTAATAACTAAAACTCACGGCTCTATGATACTTTCATGGGCTTATTAGTGGATTGTCCTCACTTTTAATCATGTTGGCTGTTGAGTAAGGAGGGTTGATGTATTCACAGGTCTTTTCCAGATTGGGATTACAAGTACAATTTAGCGCGGCCCGTCTTACTGCACAAGATGAATAATAAGAATGCAGTATTAGATAGCGGCGAGTTGATACGCAAAAAAACAAAAGCCCACAGAGGGGAGAGTTAAAAGCAAAATGATGCACATAGTAGGTGTAATCTTCTCTCTCTGGATGTTGAGTATTGAATTAACCAGTATGATGGCTGCGAGAGACCTAAAGACCTGCAATCAAATTTTGGAATGGAAACAATTAGGACACTAAGTGATGAAGAGACTTGAGCATGGGGGGGGAAGTAAATGAACTGTTAAGTCTCAGCGACATCACCCGTGACTTCCCCGCAGTGATTGATAACCATCCCATTGGCCCCAGCCTCTCATTTTCGCTTGTCCACAGGCGCTTTTGTGTGTCCGATCAGAAATAAATCAAAAAGTGTGGGTGAGGAAGACGGATATCGCTGTGTCAACCCCACTTCCCTTCGGAAACCCTCTGATTTATAGTCGCTGTCGCTGGCAGCCACTGGCCAGTTGTAAAGTTATTCAAATGTTACCATTTATTTTTCCTCCTTTTGTTTGAAACCTCAAATAAATCTGACTCGCTGCAGAATGTAAGCAGAAGGGTGTGACTAATGTGTGAAAAAGAAATGGTTGGCCTACTTCTTTGTGAATAGATGGAGCAGATCCTTATCTCCTCTGTTTACAGGTCATGCCCTGAAGCCTCAAGTATCTTCAATGTTCACATCCTTTCTGGACGGGTTGAAGACATTTTACATCACCAAGGTAAAAGAAACAAATAGTTAGAAGTGAACATCACCAGTTGCTTGTCCCCGAGTATTTTTCATGATCTTTTTCAATCGCCAGTTCAAAGGGTTCGACCCCAACTGCTTGTGCGTGGCCACCCTCCTGTTTGAGGGAGGCCGTGAGAAGGTCCTGCAGCATGAGAAGCAAGTTTATGACATCGCTGCAAAATTTGGGTAAGTAGGAGTTCTCCTTCTGTCCTATAACTGAGCACGTTACAAAGATCAGTTACAGATCCCGGCCGTGTCAAGCACAGAAATGACAGAGCACCATTTGGTGAGACTTGAGACATGGTGCCTGAGGCCCTGATGTCACTTTATTTAACCAGCCATTATGTATTAGCAGTGACAAGGATGGAGAAGCACAGTTGCACACTTCAGACTTGGCTTCTACTCAGTAGTTTGTCTCTGTAGATTGATGGATCACCTGTGGATGTCCTCCTGTCAGGCCAGCTTTTATGTTAAAGTAGGTGTGGTGTGGGCGATGATAGCGGGGCAGAGCTCCCCTCAGGACGGCGCAGGGCGAGAGGACATAGCCCGTGAGTGCCGCTGTGATTGATTGTGAAACGGATCAATGAGGACTTTGGTGGAAATCAGTTCCCTGTCATACGGAGAGGGATTCTCTCTATCCTCAACAAAAGTTTAATAGATGAGTTCATCCCAACATAAATTAAGAGTTATGCAGTTCAACTGGTTGTTTGTTGGTGATTCTGAGATGAGTTTTTTTTTTTTTTTACTGTGCATCTTTTTTTTTTTATTGTTTATTTTGAATATTAAGTTGTTTTTTTTTATAGCAACATTACTCTGAAAATATGATTTCAAAAGAACTTTTCTGCTTTTTGATTTTCAAAATGTATCTTAAAGAGATTTTCTAAATTGGTTGCTAGTTTGCATTTTCCTCTTAAGTCCAGAGGTGATAAAGAGAAGAACATAACTGTAAAACAGCTTTTTGGGTAAATGTTTGGATACACTGTTCAAACCAAATGTGTTCACTTTAAGCTAATTCACTCATTAAAAAGCAAAACAGTGAGCCTTATGTTAACTGTGCATACTAATATAAATGTATTTGTTACGTATTTCGTAGTGGAAACTTACCAACAAAAACCCTTCCTAAAATAAGAACAAATATTGATGTTCTACCAACACCAATAGCTCATTACAACACCAGTTTAAGCGGGGACAAACCCGGGATCCCCAGTGCTCCTCACTGGGGGATGTCGGTGATTTCTTCCTCGGTAAAGCTCATCGATTATAAATAACTGTTGGTGTTATTCTTTGGCTCAGTGCCGAGACTTGCAGGGAGCTGGACCGCTGCCCTGGAAGCGGTCCAGCAATTAAATCACCAGAAACTTGTCAGTTACGTGCAGCATCCTCAGCTTTATTGCATTATTAAAAATAAATCGTGATCACCAATCAGATCAAGTGCCAGTGATGGATTGGTGCGGTTCTGTGAAGAATATTTTCTGGTGGTGTTGGGGAAACGGGAAGAAGGGTAAAAAAAAAATCAATGTAGTGATTTTCTAATGAGCTTGGGCTGATTAGTTTGGGTGGTAGATGAAAATCTGATTACCCACTGCAGGTGATGGATGTGTGGCTGACCTGTGGCGATGCACAGAGCACAGCTTCATTGATCTGTACATTGTTTGATTGACAGGCTCCCAGGCAGCTGTTGTGAGGCGTGCGATCTGACCAACAAAGCTGAAAGAAAGGAGCTGTTAAATATTAACCCTGTTATCTGCTTCTAGGGGGCTGGCAGCCGGAGAGGACAATGGGCAGAGGGGCTACATGTTGACCTTCGTCATCGCTTACCTCCGGGTGGGTCACTCCTCTGGCTTTTTTTTTCTGCCGGCGCTGACGGGCAGGTGGGGGCGTGCGGGGAGGAACGCAATCTGACAGCAGATAGGATAGTGAGAAACACAGAAAGGCTGCAGAATGTGACCTCGGGAGGTCTTTGATTTGATCTGGTCACGGTTGTTGTCAGGGTGTCTAACACTGAGGTGTCTACACCATGAGGAGAACACAGTGGGTTCAGTCACAATGACAATGGAGAGTTATCTTAGGTCAGTCCTGTCAGAGAGGCCGTTTTTCATCACAGAAACAAGCAAGGAGTCTTACGCGCACTGACATAACCTGGTTACTCTGGACTTCCTTAAACATACTGCTCTTCACCTTTTTGTTTTTAAAATACACAAATTGCGGCTTTAGAGTTAGACCGACTTGTGCTATCATATATTTGTAAAGGGAAAACTGGCTCCAATTGTGTTGTCAATCCAATTGTGCCCAAACAAAACCCTGACAAATGAAACAACTAAATCACTAAAACATTAAAAAACATTAAGCTGTAGTTCCAAAGTAGGTTTGGGGTTAGTGGAGAAAGCTTGATCACTGCCAGAACAAGTAGATTTTAAAGTCACCAGGTTGCTACAGAGCATGTAAACCTCCTGTATCCTGGTGTCTTTTGTGCATGTAAATGTACTGAATGACCATTAACTGCGTACTAATGCTGATATTGTACTCCGAGCAGGACTTGGGGATGGACTACTATGTGATCGGGGAGTCCTTTGAAACCTCTGTGCCTTGGGACAGGTAAAGACACTGTTATGAGCTGTCGGCGTCTCACTGTTAAGTTTAAGTACATGTAAACGTTTTTCTTTTCTCACCTCCTACACGTTCAGTCCTAAGCGACTCCTCCGTCTTTGTCCTGCTCCCGTTTCTTTTATTTCTCTTTGC